GCGGGGCGGGGGGCGGCGCGGGGGCGCCGGGGTTGCTCCGCGCACCTGCGGCGCGCGCCCCGGGAGCGTCCCCCCCGCACAGCCGTGTCCCGGCGTCGGAGCGAGCGCCCGGGCAGGGAGCGCGGGGCCGGTCGGTGCCGCGGTGGGAGCGGGGGAGCGCAGTGCTCCGGGCGCTGCGTGGCAGAAGGCAGCACAACGCGGGGTAGGGGAGATCGCTTTGATTCAGACCAACTCGGTTTTTGCAACCGAAAAAAAAACAATGTTTCTTTCAAGCTGGCTACCTTGTGCGTTGCATGCATTCAGTGTCTTACCCCGGCCCCTGCTCCCCTTCCCCACCGGGTTGGCAGGCAAGGGAGATTTCTCCCTCCGCTGCAGGAGTACGGACATGCAGCAAGTATTGGGGATGGCACGCAGAACTGGGGAGGGGAGAGCTACACAAGGCCAGGAAGGATTTTGGCTGTAGAGCAGGCTGGGAAATGACCCATGTGCTTTGCGGCAGGTTGTGGAGGCGACGGGCAGCCCTGAAACGCTGCTCCCTCTTCCCCACCACAACCCCGAACTGCTTTCGCAGGCTGTTCAGGGATGCACAGGCTCTGGGTTTCCGTTCCTCTCTCCAACTAGCAAACCGTCCTGACAAAACGGTGGCTGAAGTCAGTCCACCGCTGCCCCCCCCATTTCAGCTTCGACCAAATGACACGTTTAAATTAAGCCTTTTTGGGAAACTATTCCCAACAATGACGCTGGCCCATCTGCCAGCACCTCTCTATCACCATTGATATTACAGCTAGACATTGGGTGGCGCATCATTATTCACGTTATTACTGTTGTTATCCCGACTGCCAAACTCCTTTCGGGATTCACACACATGCAGACTGGTGCCCGAAAGGAAATGCTTCTCATTTCTCCCAGTCAATTTTTAAAGTAGATTAAACAGAAAGCACCGGGTCAGGCCTCCGCAGAATGCACCGTGAGGAAATGGCCACCAAATGCTTCTAAACAACTGACAATAATTAATATTTCAGTGACATCAGGCCCGGCCCATGTTACTCCACAAAAATTCCAGCCGTTGGGGAACTTGGGGATTGGGGGAAACAAAACCATGGGCTGTTCGAAGCTCGTAGCTTGGACTGGACATGGGTTATGCTGCAACAGCTCGTCATTTAGCCAGGGCAGCGGGGCTGGCTTAGGGTGGTCGTGGAAGATCAGCTACAGGTCCTGCTTTGGCACCGTGGTTGCACTGGTTCCACTTTGATTCTAGCTCCATGGGGTGCTGGGTTAACCCCTTTGCAGCCTCCCAACTTTGGCTGATGGTGTTAACTAGCAACAAAATCCCTGCTGAAACATAGACAAAAAATGCAAAAGGAAAATCCCATTTCTAGCTGAGTGCACAGCAGCAAAGGGAGGACAAGCACCTCATCCCTCATAGCCTGAAGCTAGCGGATCTCTCCAAGGCCAGCAGGACAGTGCAGGAGAGCACCAGGCCCGGCACTGGCTTCCAAGATTCCTTGTGAAAGATTTGGGGCAGATTAGGATGTTGCTTGTAAACAGAAATTGTGCAATAAACAGAGCGGGTGTACATAACGGAGAAGGAGCGTTTACTCGCTCCGCAGGGCTGCCGCGTGGAAAGCCCTGCTACATGAAAGGTTTGGTCAGAGGAAAGTGTGCACGAGTTCGCTGGCACCCTGCCCTCACGCATGCCCACTCTCTCTCGCACGGACAAATCCCCCGTGCGTAAACTCGCAGACACACCAGATCCTCATTAGCCAGCTTGTTTATTGCTAACTACAATCCTTGGGAACTACAAATATTTAATTTCATCTGGCACCGCAGCAGATGTGAGGCATCAAGCTCCCAAGAGAGACAACAGGCTTGTGGGAAGGAGCCCCGTCCCTAGCTTCTCCTCCAGTCCAGCCGTGGGCCACCACGTGGGCTCCTTTCCGTGGCAAAGGCTTGTAGAAAGCTGATCGCCCTCGGGCGATGCTTGTGTCCTGGTGCAAACAGGCTCTGCGGATGGGGGCAGAATCCCCGCTCAGGGAGGAGACAACTCAGATGGTGACGAGGGGTCCAGTCCCTGACACTGGGAGTCCCATGTGCTTGCCCTTTCTCCCCAGCACCCTGCCAAGCAGGGGCGTTCCCAGCTCCCACATATTTCTGGTGAGGAGCAGCACGTGTGTCATGTTCACCCCACGACTTATATTCAGCAACCAGCGCTCAAGCAGTCCTGCGGGGTTTGGGAGCCTGGCACAGCACCTTAACTGAGGGAAAGAAATACAAGGCATGTATTTCTTCCTAAGCTTCCTCCTTTACTTTCCCTTTGGAGTCCATGAGCACCACAGCATAAGGTCTGAAATCCGTTTTCCAAAGCCTCCTTTCAAAGCCAGTATTCGCAAGTCTAGTTTTTACAGGGAGGTGCTGCTAGAAGAAAGCTTCGAAGGCCTGTTGCTCTTGGGGTCCTTGAAAACAGTCAAGGCGAGATTTTGAGTGGTCCCCAGAGATGTTAATTAGACGTCTCTTATTTAAGATTTAACACGCTGAGAAATTTCAGGAGGGAGTCTTCCTTATCTCAGGCACGCACCGGGCGCAGCACGAACCAAAGTTGGATGGCACCCACTGGTCCAAAAATTGGCTTCCTTCCCTGTCTAACTCATTTCACACTAGCGAGGGTTCAGAAGTTCACGAGCAGTTTTTATGCTTTTACTACAAATAGCAGGAGAGGCTTCGGAGGGACCCTGGGCAAGGCCTTAATAGGCACATGCAATTCCTAGACAGCGATCCATAAACTAGGTTGGGTTGCAGAAGGCACCAGGCATTGCTAATATGCTCAAAACAACTGCCTGTACATTGAGCCAGAGATTGATCATCTTTGTCAACTGGATGAGTGCTTTATCTAGGTGGCTGGAGGGGGAAATAGCAAGGACAGGAGTGTTTGAAACAGAGCGGGACGAAAGATGTGCAGGCAAGGAGCTTTCAGTCCTGGAGTCAGCCAGTGTAATGCACGGAGGGGGAAGGAGTGTTACCGGCTCCCTCCCTCTGCTGATCCACGTAGGACAGGAGGCTGCTGCAACCCAGAGAAGCCCAGCTCCAGCTGTACCAGCTCCTGCCTTCTGGTCTGGCGCTCTCTGGTCCAGTCCCCAGTGGTTTGGCCAACAGGGCAGCATTCCCGTCAGCGCCACCTTGTCCGAACCGCCTTCCTCTTACACCCCAAAGCTGCAGAGCGGGTCTTCCCCGATCCAGCCTCATCCCACATCGGTGCGCCAGGAAAGCAGGGCAGTCCTGGGAATCGGACTCGGGTGCTACATAAAAGGGAACACGCACCGAAAAACAGCCCTAGGACAGGGTGGGAGCCTGCCGTTCGTGCAGAAGCACGTTCACAGAGGTTACACGCTCCCCGTTACGAAGCGTTTTGCTGGGGGTAGCAACAGCAGTAGCTGCAGGGTCACTCACCAAGGCGTCTTTTTACTAAAGTGCTCTGTCACGCTGGCTAGCCAAATAGTCCTCTTGGAAAAGTAAGCTTTCACAGAAGTCAAGCTGGCTGAAAGAGAAGCCGTAGTAGCTCCAGTGTGTTTTCATTGGGAATATATTGCAGCAGATGGGTTCCCTCAGTCACTGTACACAATAATCATTTGGCCTAATTATATTTCTCGGGTCATTTTTCATCACGGGAACATTTTACCTACAGGACACTTCATTTGGACCTAAGTGCACAGGGGAGAGGATTAGCTGCCCTTGCAAATCCCCTGGCAATTATTATATGTCGCTCTGATGGCAGGCCCCCCCCACCCACTACAACAGGGTGCCAAAGGGTTAGATCCTGCGCAAGAGGCTGCCAGAAGCAGACTCTGCCCTGGGGACGTTGCACAGAGTCCTCCTCTCCTTTTTGCAGAGCTGCAAAGAGATGAAGTGCTTGGCCCATGGTTACGCAGGGAGTCCATATGAACAGGACTCCAGAATCCCAGACCCCAGCCCATTTCCTTCTCCACTGGTCTTCCCTCCTCTCTGAACTGACATTAAAACTGGCAATTTTCCCCCTTCTGCCATGAAGCCTAGTGGTTAGCTCACGGGGCTGGGCCTTGAGGAAGCAGAGTTCCCCATTGATCAGTGCTGCAGGTCCCACGCGAGTCGGCACCGTGCAGGCAGGCAGGTGCAGTGCAGTGCGGTGCCCCTGGAAGCCAGGTTAGCCTTGCAACGTGATGGCAATACCTCCCCACTCCTTGGAGGATGCTGGGGGAACTCCAAGGGACAAGTGGTGTTCAGGGACATGTTCTACTGTCTAGCATCGGTTTTCAATGCAGTCACTCACTTGCAGAAGTCCAGGGCTGCGTTGAAGCCTGGGCAGTGGTGGACGAGCTGGCCTGCTGCATTCCCCTGTGCTTTCAAGCTACTTCTTTCTTGCCCCTTCAGTACAAGCCCTGCCTTGGGCTGCAGAAAAGCAGGGTTTTATGTCCAGCTTTGCCACCGATGCCACTGTGCACCCGTGGGCAAGTCATCTAGTCTCTCCGTGCCTCTTTGGGTGAGACACTGCATCTCCTCCTACATTCGTGCAGTGGTCAGCAGTCCCAGATGAGGTCTCCAGGAACTTGCACGATATAAAGGATAAGCCACGAAGCCTCCCACATAACCAGCTTGTGCTGGCACTGGGTAACCATCCGGCTGTTAGAGGCAGGCCCCTCTGTGACTCTTCACATCAAGTTTCACAGGAGACAAGTCCTTTCAAGACCCTTGTTTAGGCAACAAGGATTCACTCCGTAGTAACTACATTCTGATACCACAGACACCGAGACGAGGTCAGAGCTGTGGAGGAACACATCTCACGGCAGAGGGCTGGAAAAATGTTGACACTAAATAAAGTTTTTAAAAAGGCAAAGAATGAAACACCCTCACATGAAGTGGGGCTGGGAGGTTGCACAGCATTATGCTATTAAAAATTATTCAAGGGAGACCA